CTTATCGTGGGGAGGAGATGACCTATGTGCATGTATTATTTGGCCCGTTATGGTGTTTTGTTATTATTATTAGGCTAAGATTATTTTTTTTGTTAGCCGTTTTTTTTTACAAAAGATAATCATATATTGATCGAAAAATAGGTAATTACATCCTGGATCTCAGCCAGGCCTGAAAATCGAAAAACCGACACATTGTCGGGGACAAAGACAGGGCCTTCCTAGCTACCAAATGAGCTACCCTATTGCTATCCCGACCAATAAATCACACACTAAACCTGGCATTTGCCACCAGCATCTGCATAATCTCCTCCAAGATAGCCACTACACGACAATCCCTCACATCCTCTTGGCAGACCTTATCAATGACAACCTTGGCATCCCCTTCAAACCGCATCTCCGAAAGACCATGCTCCAAACACCAGCAAATAGCCTCCCGGAGTGTCAAAAGTTCCACTACCATGGGATCCTCAATGAAAGGGAACTGCAACCCCCTAGCCCAAAGGACGCCCCCCATTGCATCACAGGCTACCACTCCACCAGCAGAATGTGACCCCCTACGGACTGCCCCATCCCATCGACACACAGGCCCCCAACCACCCCCCTGTCCCCCCAGTATGATGCTAGCTGGGCACTGGAGCGGACTGAGTATCCGGCGGCAGTCGTAACCACTCATTTATCTGCTGATTGTACTGCCTCATTAAGGCAGGAATCCCAAACTGTTTACCTTCAAAGACAACCCAGTTATGAGACTTCCATATCCTCCAGAGGACAGCAGTGATCATCATGAAATGAGTGGGCTGGTGCAGAATAGAGAACAATTTTTTCAGGAAGAAAGGGAATGTAGACTGGGGCAATCCCTCCCCAAGATACTCCAAACCCGACTGTTCCCAAAGCGCCCTAGCCACTGGACAAGCCAGGAACAAATGCTCCATTGTCTCCACCGCTTCCCAGCAAACCGGGCACCGAGGATGAACCTCAATTTCTCGCTCAATGAGCGCTTCAGTCGTCGGGAGGATTCTATTAAAAATCTGCCAAACAAACACCTTCATTTTAGGGGGAATATTTGCATTCCAAAGCCGGATCCAACTCTCCCTATCCATCCAGCTAACCTGAGCCCTCCATCGACCATTCTGCTGATCCAACCCAACCGCAAGGTGATACGCCGATTTCACTGAGAAGACACCATCTGATGTGCCTTGCCAGATCAAGCGGTCTTCAACATTCTGTCGAGGAAGGGGGATAGCTTTAATCACTCTACAAGTTGGGGGATCAAACCATTGGCCTAGCTTATCATCACACCAGCGCCCTTCCCCAGCACAGATCACCTCCTCAATAGGGATGGCAATGGGGCGGGTTTGGGGCGGGTTTGCTTAAACCATCCCCATACCCATCTTCAAATACCCAAACCCATACCCGCCCCATACCCATGCGGGGGAATGTTTTGCAAACCCATCCCCATACCCGTGGGTTTCGGGTACCCATGGGTAATACCCATACCCGTACATCCTACATTATTATACCTAAAACTTACAAGAAAAGTTCTAATTATAACTCTAAATGAACATATTATATCACGAAGTCAACAAAACACGGTCATTTTTTTAATATGGTTCAAAGATTATGATCCTAAAATATTCATTAATATATAATATAGAGTATAATATTTTTCAAATTATTATGTTCTAACTCTGATACATCTACTAAATAATAATTAACTAACATAATCTTGTTGACAAGGGGAAAGTGAGAGTAAAATGAGAATTGAGAGAAATGAATTAGATTTTGATTAAGGTGGTCACTCAATTGCATATCTACTATTTATTTTCTCAAGTTATCCTCATCATCATTAATAGATTATAATTTGATGCACATATTTTTTATATATATGAAGAAATTATCTTGGTGGGGCGGGTATGGGGATGGGTATGGGGCGGGGGAGGCTAAAACCATACCCGCCCCATACCCATCAAACTTTTTGCGGGTTTTACCCATACCTGCCCCATACCCGGTCAAAGCGGGGATTCCCCGCGTTGACTGGGTCGGGGGAGGTCGGATGCCCACGGCCATGGGTTTTATTGCCATCCCTACTCCTCAACCCTCACCTCCCCATCCATCGGCAACACACGGGGGTTAAACACTAGGGGAAAATTGGATTGATGAGGGACCCACTTTGACTCAAGTAAAGGAGCTGTTTGACCATTTCCAATCTGCCACCGTAGACCCTTGGATAGCAACTGGCGTCCAAACAGAATGCTCTGCCATCTCCAAGATGGTCGGGATCTAGTCGTGGCTGAGAGGAACGATCCATTTGGAAAATACTTCCCTTTGTAAACCTGGGCTAACAGAGAATGTGGTTCAGTCAAAATGCGCCACCCAATTTTAGCCAACAGAGCCTGATTGAATAACTCAAACCTACGAAACCCCATCCCCCCTTCATGTTTACTGCGACATAAGCTCCGCCACGACATCCACCGAATTTTGGATTGACCCTCCTCCACTCCCCACCAAAATCTGGCTATCTGTTTATCCAGCAGGCGACAGAGAGCTAGCGGAAGCCTGAAGCAAGACAACACATGTAAGGGCAGGGCCAAAGCCACCGACTTTATCAAAGTCTCCTTAGCCGCCCAGGACAAAGTCCTCCGCTTCCACCCTTGTAATCGCTCTATCAATTTTTCCTCCAGATATCGGAAAGTTACCATTTTGGAACGTGCTATCAAGGTAGGGAGGCCTAGATACTTATCCTGCACACCCACCGCCCCCACCCCAAGAATAGCCCCTAAGAACTCCTGATCAGGCAAGGAGATATTCTTACTAAAGCAGACCGCCGACTTATTCAAGTTCACTTTTTGGCCACTTAACTCCTCATACTCATTCAAAACTTCAATGAGATTCTCACACTCCTGGAGTGAACCTCGGAGGAACAAATAAGAATACAAGCAAAGAACAAGTGAGATATCCGAGGAGCCCGAGGCGCAACTTTAACCCCCTCTAACCTCTTCTCCGAAATGGCCTTTCGGAGCAGGGCCGCGAACCCCTCCGTGCAGAGCACAAAAAGAAGAGGGGAGAGAGGGTCTCCTTGCCGGAGCCCCCTAGAAGACCTAAAGAATCCTGAGGGAGCTCCATTCATGAGCACCGAAAAAGAAGCCGATTGCAAACACTCTTGTACCCACCCTAGCCAGACCGAGCTAAACCCCATCTTCTCCAAAACCGCAAGTAGAAAGGACCATTCGACTCTGTCATAGGCCTTTTCCATGTCAACCTTCAGAGCCATGTATCCCTTCTTTCCACGGGTTTTGAGTTTCAGATAGTGCATCAACTCGTGCCCCAGGAGGATATTCTCCACGATCTGCCTATCCCGAATAAAAGCGTTCTGGCCCGTCGAAATAATTTCGGGCAACACACCAGCCAATCTCTCCGCCATAATCTTAGTAATTATTTTGTACACAAACTGGCACAGGCTAATGGGACGAAGTTGCCGTATGGATTCCACCTGGTCCACCTTGGGAATCAGCGTTAGCCAGGTATGATTGAAACTACGGAGCATCCGACTGGTTTCAAAGAACGAGCTGACCGCATCAATCACTGAATCCCCAACTATTTCCCAAAAGGCTTTAAAGAATTTCCCCGTAAAGCCATCCGAACCTGGCGCCTGTTTCGAGCCCATACCGAAAACAGTTCTTCGAATCTCCTCAGGAAGGACTACCGCCGTGAGGTTCGCATTCATCTCCTGGGTAATACTTGACCCAATCGGTAGGTCTGCCACCCTATCAGCCATATTATGCACCTGGCTTTCCGAAGTGAAAAGGGTTTGATAGAAATCAGTAGCTATATCAGCCTTTCCACGCTCCTCCGTTACCCACTCACCATCCGCATTATATAACCCAGCAACAAAGTTTCTTTTACGACGGGTTCTCATGACCGTATGGAAGTAAGAGGAGTTCTTGTCCCCTCTTTTCAGCCATCGGACCCGAGACTTCTGCTGCCAATATTCTTCTTCTGCCTCCCACTGCCTACTTAACTCCGTTTCCAACCCCGCCACTGCCTCCCAATTGATCGGGTGAACAGCCTTTATCCGTTCAATCTCAATTTTCAAGGTTTGGATATTACGGAGGGAGTTGGTTGTCCCTGCCCGGCTCCAGTCATATAAAAGATGACGAAGTTTCTTCAATCTCTCCCACAATTGAAACATCGGATTACCTTGTATTTGTTCCAGCCAAACATAGGAAACCATCGCCTTAACCTCCGGATTGTCAGCCCAACGAGCATCAAAACGAAAAAGGGGGCGACACATCCTGACATAAGGTTTATCAGACAGAAGCAAAGCCCGGTGATCCGAACCTTGATCCGTGAAATGCTTGACAAGCGTATCGGGAAAAGTATCCATCCAGGTTTGAGAACAAAGGGCCCTGTCTAGCCTCTCCCGGATACATGCCATCCCCATCCTTTTATTGGTCCAGGTGAACGGCTCACCCTGGTACCCAGGGTCATGCAGTCCTATATCCTGGATCATATTTCTGAGGTCCATGGATTGGGTAGCATTCCAAGGATTGCCACCCTCTTTCTCCCCGGCATTTAGGGTAACATTGAGATCACCAATGATCACATAAGGGAGAACAAGGCTGTCACAAATCTCACGAATCTGAGTCAATTGAGTTTCCCGCACAGCAGTATTACAACTCAAGTAAACACAAAGCACCACATAAGAAGAACCATTTTCATTAATCCTCGAACAAATACAAAAACTAGAATGAAAAAAAAAACCGAAATCTCCAGTCCGGGGGACCCAGCAAGAACAAGACCACCAGCACCATTAATGGCATCAACAAAAAAACAATCCGACGACTCAAAACCTAAACCCCGCAAACGCCGGGTGACTACTCTCCGGGACGACCGTGTCTCTGAAAAGAAAACAAGGTCCGGATTATTCGACCGAACCAACCCAACAGCCGTTTGGAACGTGAGGGATGGTCCAATTCCTCTCACATTCCAGGCTAGCATCTTCATTTATCTTCTTGGGGCCACTCACGGCTGGCTTCCTCCACCGAATCAGTTATCTCCTGCTCTTCCACAAATTGCTTTTTAGGTGTGGGGCTTTCCTCAAAACCCCCTTCCAGCTCATTCAGCGAACGGTTACGAGTCCCGGTCTCCAAATTAGACCCGTACTCATTGAGGTTAGGGTTCAACCCATCCTCCACCCCTTGCACTATATTACTTTCTTCATTAATACTCATACTAGCTTCAAAGGCCGCAACCACCTGACGAACTTGTCCCGGGAGAACCTGGTTCTGCAGCTTTGTTGGTGTGGTACGAGCCTTGATCACAAAACGCTGCTCATCCTCCTCCGAAGACGACCCTTTGGGAGAAGGCATCCCCTCGGCCTTAGTGGGCTCCTCCACCATTAGGGACTCCCCCTGGGCCGACAGATCATGGGCCTGAGCTGGCGCCATCTCAGCCGAATGGGCCGCCTTCCCCGTACCCGCCTCCTTGACTAATGGAGATTGGGCCAGGCCCTTTTTCTTTCGGGCCGCCCCAGCAGGTTTGATTGGCCGAGCCGTACCGGTCTGTTTCTTTTGGGCTGGAGCCCTGCGGGCCGAAGCCACTTTGGGCCCATCATTGGCCGTCACCATCTTGGTGAGGCGCTTCCCCTTCTTCCTCGTCTCCCCGACCTCCACCTTATCCTCCTTTGGCCTCGCAGGAATGGGAGATTCATCCTCCCAATCCTCAATTATCAGCCTCCTCCTGCGAGCATCACCCGACGCAATCTTGATGGTATGTGCCTCTCCGCCGGCGTGGGCCCCTCCAGTACCAGAGATCTTTAGGTGAGGCTCGGAATCACCCCCCCCCCCCCCCCCCCGCCTTTCCGGATAGCTCCCTAGAGATTCACCATCACCATCCGATGAAGCCATCACCCGCTCCCTCATACTCGCCACAGGACGGCCGCCAGCAGGGTCTTCCGAGCTAGCAGCAGGCGAGGCATTTGGGGTGCGAACACGGCCCAGTCTTCTCACCGGCGACCGCGACACTTTGCACCCTCGAGGGCTTAATCGGCGTTGCCCCGCCGTCTGCACTGAGGATTCTTCCGCCGCCATCTGCTTCGGTTGCCTAGTAAGCTGAGTTGGGTATCTACCTCCCTGCTCCCTCTGCATTCCGGCTCCCAATTTCTCGGGACCTTGCTGCCGATAGTCACGGTTGACCCAGACCGATTTCCCCCCTCGAGCAAACGGCTGGACTTGATCATCAGCATCATAAATCCGAGTCCCCAGTTTTTTTGTAATCATATGGGGACCATAGTTTTCCATCCGAGCTGGAGGGTCGAACGTACAAGATCGGCTTGAATGTCCCACTCGGCCACAGTGGAAACAAAAGCTTGGAAGATGTTCGTATTTGAGGCTAACACAGAACCGGCCAGTGTCGTCATTGGACGCAAGTATCTGGGATCGGAGAGGTCTGGAGAAATCAATGAGCGCCTTTACCTTCACGAACCAGCTGCCCGAGTCTTGGCAGGTAAAGACTCCTGACTCCAAGACTTTCCCAATCGTGGTTTGCACCATTTTTCGGCCAAACTGTTGAGTGCAACAGTCTTCTCTGACATCCCACAGCTGGATCCGAAACGGAGCAATCGCGAGATCATCATAAATCTGCTTCGTGATGATTGGTGTCCATGCCCGAAGGTGAATGATTCTGTCATTGATCGCCCATGGAGATCGTTTGAGGATCCAATTCCTCGCCTCCTCATTTGGTAACATGAATTCGATGAGGCCATGCTTTGCCTGGACCACTCGGATGCGCCCCTGAATCAACCACGGAGCGATCACCGATTCCCTGAGCTCTGTGGTAGAGATCCTGTTCTCCGTGAAGACTCGGCCAAGGAGAGAGTGTGCAGCTCGGTACCTTGTCGATTGCACTTCCTCCATCGAGAATTGTACTACTTGATCATTCGAGAAGTGAGCCATGGTGGTGACCTGCAAAGAAGGGGGATCAGATTTCATTGTAAGCTCCTTCTGCAAATAATTACGCATCTCAGGCTCATACGAGCCTTTCGAGGATGGACCTCCCCGCTCACAAGAGAGGGACCCAGGAACAGCGGGGGGTCTTGTTCTCTGCTGTTTGGCGAGATGACAAGGCCAAGTACACATGCCCTGGAAAGGAAACAGTTCCATACCTGAGATGAGGAAGCGCCTAGGAGAAGAAGGAGCAGCCACTTTACTCTTCAATGGTCGATTTCTCGGGGAAGATGTGAGAACAGTCGGCCAAAGCAGGAGTCTTTTATAGTGGAAGTCAAATCTTCCCCCAGGGATTTGCATACTCTCGCAGGTATCAGGGAATTGAGTTTGTCTCAAAGAGGGACTCTTTTTTAACCCGAAGGTTGTTTTAACTAATTGTTGGAAAATCCCAACGGATTTGGGGAGAGGATTTTCCTCCACCATATCCCCAACCGTTGTCCGCCGAATCAGGGATCCATCTCGGGCCTGAGCAGGGGAACATAAGTGATCACCGGCGGCGCTGATCGGATGCTCACCTGTAGCGATGATCGGCGATTGCAGGGCATACTCCACTGACTTCAATTCCACACAATTTGGGTCAGCGATCGATCGGTTTTCATTAGATGTAAACATGGCCTGTATTGGCCTTACATCTTTGGAGCTAGTGACTGGACCAGGAAATTTTCCAGTTTCGGAGTTTATCGTCTTCAACAAATCCGTCGGTTGGTCCAGTGGTACCTGCTCCCAATCCTCCATGGACGGGATGACGAATCTCCAACCTGCTATCTTCGATAGCTGTTTTCGTTTCATATTTTCGAGAAACATATTCTCTGCCAGGACAAGCCCAAGCTTCCTCTTTCGATGACCATCCTTTGGATGGTGATTTCTTGCGGGCGACAGGTCGCACCTGAAAAGGTCACCTCTTCGTCGCCCTTGCCATGGCGGCCTGACCGGTGGATCAGTCTTCGCCTTTTCACCTGTTCCTTTTGGATACGAGCTCCGTTGTTCACCAGTCGCCCATATACTAGAGAGGCCCTGATTCCGAAGGCATCGAAGGAAGAGAGTAGTGATCATGGAGACCAGGAAGTGTCCAAACGATCTCCCCCACCGGAGGAGAGACTGGAGAGCTCCCAGCATTTTTTTTTAGTGAGGTTCTTGTTAGCCGTTTTGTTAGTAATATTAACTTGAGAATATCATTAGGGCTGTACATGGGTCGGGTGGCCTGGGTTTAGGCATTTTAATCACCCGACCCATGCACTACGGTTTGAGAAATATTAAACTCAAACCACCCAAAAAAATTTAAACCCTACGGTTTGTTTCTAATTGGGTTGGGTCGGGTTGGCGATATTTTTTTGGTAAAACCCAACAAAAAATATGTAATTATTCTACACCATAAAAATATTTTATAACTAATTAAAAATTAAAACGAATAAACTGAGGTGAAAGGTATCAAAATTCACAAATGTTGTTTGAATTTTAATAAAATTTGATTTACTTCAACGTATGTCCAGTTTTTTTTCACAACATTTGTTGAAATAGGCTAAAAAGTTTACAAATAAACGCATCCATAATAGGTTATTCTATTAAAATTGTACACAAGAAAAAGAATTACATGAATCATGGCTATATTAAATTTACTTCTAAACTTTAAGCCGAAGAATGCATTAGATTACGGAGACTATAAAAGAAAAACATGGCGAAATATCTTAATTTTCTCATAAGTATAGCTATATACGACATAAATATTTTTTTGGATACGACCTCATGCCAATAATTGGAACACGGGTTGGGTCGGGTTCTACGGGTTGTATGATCCAAAATCCAAACCCAACCCAAAAGAGGCAGGTTGTACAAAAGAAAACCATCACCCAGCCCAAAACTTTCGTTTTAGCGATAAATACAGATGGGTTGGGTCGGGTTGGATGGGGGAGTCGGTTTGCGAGTGTGTTTGTTCACCCCTCAATATCATATTGACTGGGAAGATATATATTGCAGTCAACACCCAATTTATTTATTTTTTTTTTTTGAAAATTTTGGCTAATAAATAATATTTACCTAAACCCAAGTAGACTCATTGATTATGGATAGGGTATTGGTGACGTATATATGGGTTTGGAAGTTTGTAGATGGGTTTGGGTAGGGTATGGATATTTACTTCTATAATCTAAATGTGTATGTGTATGAGTTGAGTTGAATATTCATTTATTCGAGCGTGTTTAATTACACATACAAAATTAGATCTATTTGTAGAACTTTAAAAGTTTTGATACCAAAATGTAATACACAAAAAATGTAGGTACTAAAATGTAATGTTCAATCAATATTTTGAGGACTTATATGCCAAAAAAATAAATTTAGGATATAAATCTAAATATCTATTAAGTTTAGGAATACAAACTAGAACTCGCTTAAAATTTCACATCTTCAAATCCCATAGTCGAAAATGATGACTTTCTAATTAGTAATAACCATATATATTTATTTTTAATTGGACTCGATATTGAGCTGAAAAAGTTAGTGGTTTATGGTTCAATTATTAATTCTCTAGACTGTTGGTCAGTCATGTATGGACCAGTTAATACTTGTGATTAGAATAAATAAAAATAGTATACTAATTAGGGTCAGATGAATAAGGCAAAGAAAGAAATAAAGAAAGGGTTATGGAAGACGAATGAAAAATAAAACGAAGGGAAAGTAGATGATAGAAAGGTTTGACCAATTCTTTTAGTTGACAGTCAATACAACAGTCAACTCTTTTCGCCGTAGCAATTTATTGACACTTGCTTACGTAGATGTCACATATTTTGTTACATGTAGTTAGTAGAAGTTTGATACAACATCTTGTATGGTACAAACTAAATTTATACTTTTATGTTATGATGGATTGGATTCATAGATTGGTTCAAAAAGATTGATGGATTGGATTCATGAATTCAAGTGAAATCTAAACATTGGACCAATTTATATTAAAATTAAATTTAGGGTATCAAAATGTAAAATGTACATTATAGTGACTAACTTGCAATTTGTTTGGCAACGGTAAATATCCCAAATATTGACAGTCCCTATGTTATAAAACAATTACACCCAAATATGTCATCCCAAAGACCCGATCCACCATAATGGCTATAGATACGGTGTATAACTAAATTTGGACCTTTGTTTTTCAGTAGAACCAGAAAATTCAGATCTAAGGGTGGAGAATTAAAATCATTTTATTTTTCCTAGTTTTCTTAATCGACTCGTATCTTCTTCGTTTTAACTCGGATTTTAATTTTTCTTGCACAGATGGAACGAGTTGGTTGTGCTCTACAAAATGAGATTCGTTTTCAATATTTTACCAATTGTATGTCATATGGTATCTTCTTCATTTTTATGTCATTTATAAAATAAAATTGCACAGAAGAAACGAGTTCATCATGATCTATTGGATCTACAAATTTCCCGGTGAACAAAATATAGGACCAAACAATACCACACAATACCACCCTGGTACGGGGTGGTATCTTTTGGTATACAATGTTGAAAGTTGTAAATAACAATTAGTATACTTCTACTATCATGTATTCAACCATCCTATAGTCTTGGTATGTTCCTACCACCATGGTATACTTTTTATATCATATCGTATGCTCTAATTTCAATACCAGTCAATACCATATGGTATAGAATGGTAAAAAATGGCTCAATTTTTTTGTTTAAAAAAAATATCAAAGTGGATATCATTTTGAAGAACACAATTAATATGATCTAACTGTGGGAAAAAAAATTCAACTTAAAACGAGTGAGAAATCGTCTGTTTTAAATTAAGGAGAAAAATTAAAGATTTTCAAAGAAAGAGAAAAAAACACTAATATGACAAATCGTGATTAAATTATACATAGTTACTAACTTACTAATTACTAATATGCTACCCACCATAATATCCATGATGTTAAAGTAACGTACACAACTATTAGGAATGTGAAAAACATCCATTCCTTGGGAATGGACTAATCCACTATAATTATGGGCACCCATGGGGCGCCCGAACATTACATATGAAGGGAGCATCATGATTACTACTACAGACACGTGGAGAAAAACAAGGGGTTCAATGAATTTAACAGAGGCGAAAAGGTGATTGGGATTTGCTTTAATTTGCAAGAGGGAGACATTTTATTCAACGTTCAAAATGATAGTGACACCCAATATCGTTACAAGAATCTGAATCGTGGAGGAATTCCAAGCAAGTAACCCACTAATCTACTCTACTCGCCGGTCTAATCTTGAAAACGGGAGGAACAACACAAATCTCACATAATTGACCACCACCGTCCGGAGAGGAATGTTCTTTTTCGAACAAAACCATCTTTGGAAACAACTAGCTATAGCTAGGGTGATTATTTACAAACAATATTTTTTCACTTAAACTACTACATGAGCTATTTTAGATAATTGGATCTCTTTACATAGCTTTGGCTCATAGTATATAGCAGATTACCTGGATGGGCCGTACTTTGGTAGATAGTAGTTGACTGCGAGCCTGCGAGGTGACGACCATCCCAGTATTTGGTCACCATCTGTACAGTTCCATTGATACCATCGAATAGGATGACAACTTTGCACATACTCATGGGTTTCTTACTATCCAACTCAATTGGGTTGGTATGAAATCCAAATAGATGGATATGGGTAGAGTTTGATGAGTTTGTACCCATACCCATTTACTTTGGGTTGAGTTGGGTTTATATCAAATGAATTTGGATTTGTACTCATGCCCAAATACAAATTACAGTTTGGTACCCAAACTTAATAGATATGCATATATAGTACCTAATTTTTTTTGCATATAAGTCCTCAAAATATTGATGGAAAATTACGTTTTGGTACCTAAATTTTTTTTTGTCTTACATTTTGGTACCTAAACTTTTCAAGTTTTACAAATAGGTCCAATTTTTGTATGTGTAGTTAAAACAGCCTCAAGTAAATGGATATCCATATCCAGCCCATACCCATTTAGATTATGGAAGCAATATTTATACCTTACCCAAACCCATCTACAAACCCCCCAAATCCATATGCACTTCACCCATACCCAACCCATTATCAATGGGTCTACTTGGGTTTGGGTATAATTACCCATGGGTGGGTAATTTGCCATCCCTACCATCCAACAATAAGTGCATGATGATAATATCATATCATGAATACCATCCAATCCCTAAATGAATGGTGACCATCCCACGTCATGGATATCATCCAACCTTTTATAGTGAATGGTATTATCATCTCATATCATAGATATCATCCAACTCTTAAGCGGATGGTGTCATCCCACAACATGGATATCATTCAGAACCTAATTGGATGCTACTGTCCAGTCTCATGGTTGGCATCCTCGTTCAAATAGTATTTGTCGAGATGTGAACCGTAATAACAATCGTCATATTCGTAGAAGTCAGACGCAACCCATCTCCCTATTTTTCCACAATTAACAGTGATAGCCCACCGAAATTAAAAGAGCTGCGCCGTCCGGCCTGCCGGGGAGAACATGCGCGCCCGGGCGTGGCACCGTCGATGGGATGGCTGTGGCATGGCGCCATCTCTTGCGTAAGCCCCAACTTTGTGAAAGAAAAGGCGAGGGAGGAAAAGGGACTACTTAGGATGGTAAAAGGGAAGAAAAGAAGAAGGGGGTCCGGTCCTGTATGTTCGATGTCTCTTTCAGTAGTCTTAAGAACAAATTAAACTGCAGCAGCAGCAGTCAAGAGAATGAATATTATGCTCTTCTGGCTTCCATTTCGATTCCTACTTCCTACCTTGTGACCTAATAAATCTATCTAACTACTCAAAAGCATAATGGAAGCTTCAATTGGAAAGTGATGTGAAGCAAAACAAACCCTCTCCAAGACAGGGCCCCTCGCTATTTAATTATTAGCTATATATACCAACCAAATATTATTGAACTTTCTAGCTAGCTAGCTAGACAGAATAATATCCCTTCTTCAATCCCTTGATATACAAGAGGGTCCATATTAAAGTGAAGTGTGCAAAATATGATAAACTACAAACAAGGAGTTATATTAGAATTGAAAAAAAAAAGTAAACTATTAAGTTATATTGTGAAGAATCAATTAAGGGGTCATTTGGAGAAAGAA